TTAGGAAGAGTCTCTTTACTAATGACAACTGTGTCATCTACATATCTGAATCCGATGTGTGATCTAACAGTGTTGGCGAAAAACTCGTCTCAGTGTGGAACGTAACGAAATTTACAATGATTTTTTATACTGAAAGACTTATGGCAATTCCATTAGTTTGTTTATATAGTCCTTTTGAAAGTGAAGAGTGTTAAATTTAAGCTAAATTTGAGGGTCTTCACGATAGAACTAATGCTTAAAGAGCATCTGCTCGATAGAGTATGATCGTACTTTAGTAGACCAGAAATGAAGTTTAGACACCTATCAATTGAAATGCTGGTGTATAAAGACAAAAACATCAAAGCTTACCATTGTTTTGTATTTGTTGATAGATAATTCCGAGATCTGTAAAATCATGGTCCTGTCATCGTCTATGCTGACTCGTTATATCGTAACTATCAGCAATGTGTCTGACGTTTCTAAAGAACATATTTAAGCTGGGGGTAGAACAATATGAATAAAAGAAATAAGTTACGCAAGAATGACCGTGCTTTCATGGCTGAGCCATGCCATCCGATCTAGTTCAACTGATTCTTCCCGCCTTCCTCATTGTTGACCTCTTCTTGTCAACCGTTGAATATGTATTTTCTCAGTTATCTCACGTTCAGATTTGAGGATTGTGTGATTAGAACCGATACCTCTACAGATCTTTGATTTGAATTCGTGTGAATCCCTTAGCACATTGACTAAATTATGATGAAATGGCTTTAGTACGTTGCTTAGATATTTAAATAAAACATATGTAGGAGTGTTTGTAAAGTCCATTATGGTTCTCACATTCTTTTAAGATCCATAGAAGTATATGATTTAATGGGAAATAAAACTCCGATCAGCTAATCTAAATTTTTAAAGCGTTTCCGCTATTTTTCTGATGTGGAAGTACATTTATGAGTGTTTACTTGCAAATCGGTTCGTAATGAAATATGAATGGATCGCCATGAACATTCTGGTGGCTCAATAATCAGATATCTGGAAATAACGTTGTCGTTTAGATAACGTTTATCAAATATTTGTTTACTGTACAAGTTATATTTGCATTTGGTTAATTTAATTCGATTATTAATTAATTTATATATATCAATACCAAGTTTAGAGTTGATAGTTTCAAATAAATTGGGCACTAGGTAGAGGGTTAATAATAAACAAATGAATACATTTTTGTTGTGTCCCAATGATTAAACATACTCGAATCTATTGTGATTTTGATTGTACTAAGAACATTTTGAATTGTTTACTTTGTACTATTTAAACTTGTGTTCATTTAATTTCGGTTATTTATTTAGTCTGCGGAGGTGGCTTAGATTACGTCACCAAACATCAGAAATGTAATTTTTCTGCTTATTAAGATATGACATAAATGTTTATTATTACTATCACACAGCTGTTAAACTTACGTGTAAGGAACATTCAATGTATTGTTGACTGACAGTCCAAAGTATTTCATCGCGAGAAGTTCTAAACGTTTTCTAGGCGGCACAAGATTTCACTACTTGTTTTCGTATTCATGCCCTTGTGGTGGACCAGACAATATATTAATCCAAAAGGTAATGATAGAGTTATTATTAACAAATATCATTATTTAAATGTATAAGTTAAATGTCATAAACACAATAGAAATAAGGAACGTTACTTATTGTACCAGGAGAGTGCGTGTTCCGAATTGATCTGGTGTTAAATTTCCACAATTATAGATGATTAATAATTCCTGTGGGTGTGATGGGTTCCCCAATGATAGGATCCAGTAGTAAATATGGTATATTCCAATTATCGTCTGTAAAGATAAATGGTACTTGATTCAGACTTCAGTTAACACAAATGCAAGTGAATTTAGAACGAGAGGTATGTGTGTAGTAGTGTATTTGGAACAATCACAGAAAGTGTCACGCTATGTTAGTATTACAACAGAAAAAGTCATCAAGGTCATTTACTAAAACAACAGGTACAATGATTTAATAATAAATGTAGACACAGTGAAAGATTGACAAAATGAATACAAATAATATTAAAAATTATTTACAAAATAAGTTTGACAGACTTATCTCCACACTCTCCTCAAGAGAATATTTGTGGGCATTCCGTTAGGTATTCAGTTGTTTGTATGAACTGATGCTCCAGTGCTAAATGTAATTTTAGTATTCGAATTAGGCTTATATTCAGTATTCCAAGTTAGCTTTGCATATTTGTTTCCAATAAAGATATGTTGCAGTCAAATCATCTATATTGCCCAAACTTTAACTTTGAAATGCTCACTAAAAAGAGGAGTGTTCCTATTTGTAGGTCAAAGACCAATGTCGTTAAACAGACCCCACTATGTTAATGAGACCTCTTAACTGCGATACACGATGAGGGTCGTTGATAGCTTACTCTACCGCTCTTTCAAAAAAATGTCCCAGAGAGCTCTCTATTGCTCTTAGTATGAGCTAAAGATCCGTAGATCCATTTGTAGTCAACTTGATATAATTCTGAACTTTTACTTACTGGTTAGTACGACTACACAGCAGCGGAGCGAACACGTTCTGATTTTTAAACCCAGCTAATGACCTTAGATAAGTAATCATTTAGTATGCATTTTTTCGTTCGAATTAAGACCCCAGTGTAAGGTTTTCTGATCTAAAATAAAAGGAATTTTTCCGTCCAACTGGTGTTTATTCAATGAGGTTTTGACCCTAATTCGACAACACGGGATCCGTTTGGCTACATTTTATACATTGAGAAAAGCTGCTGTTTGTACTTTTTGAATTTCGCTTATAGTCTACAATGCTTTGAGCAACGGATTTTGATAAGATATGTTTCACAAACAAAATACTAACCCTATAAAAGGAGAACCATTAAATTGGCTACCTTTTACAGTCACGTTTTGTTTTATTGGATTTACAGTTCACTCTTACTTATTCACTTTGAGGAGCTACGAGACTTTTATATACTTGTCTCTGTACTTTAACTTCGCTATCTCAACAGATAAGTCAGTCAATGTAGATGATCCGGTTGAAGACGAATGGACGAAATTAGAAATCATATTCGAGTGCTCAAATTTACCATCCATTTCATGGTCGACACGTAAGATATCACATTTCACTCTGGATCAATAGGAAAACTTGAAAGCGACTAAAGCGTAGGAAACACTTTTTGGATTTGTTCTTGTTAATATGATACGGATTATTTAGGTGTGAATACTTAAAAATCTGGAATGTATATAAGCAAACCTTAGCTAGACGTTCACCAATTATGAAAAACAGTTAATAAAGGGTAGCCATTCTTGCCAAGAATAATTGGTTTCGTACGTCAAGCGTAGAACAAAACGTAGTGAAGGGATTCCCCAATTGTTTTTGCACGAAAATTGAGATATATTAGCTGAATCAGATTTGGCCAGAGCTGAGGATTTATCAAACTATTTCAGAGAGGTCTTCTCTATTGACATTGTTAACAACACTTCTCATAATTACACCACTGAGACGCTAGCTATTACGTGTGGTTGAGGAGTCTGTTCTTCAATTAATCAGCCAAGTCTGACCTTGATAGACACCAGGTGTTGGTAGGTTACATCCACGACTGCTTTCATCTCTCGCAGACACTATCCCAGGGACTTTAACGGTGCTGTTCAACATGTTCTTTTCCAAAATCCTACTTCCTAAGGGTTGGAAGGATGCTACCGCTAGTTCTATATCAAAGTATGGAAAGCGGTGCATAAAGTCAAACTAGTGTCCTGTCAGTTTGATCACCATAGTTGTTAAGTTATTTGAAATAATAATTAGAGTAGGTAACTATGTCATGTAGAATCATACAATCTGTTAAGTCCTGAACAACACAGGTTTCAGATTAAGCAATAATACACAAAATACCGGTTTGTTTATCGACTTTAGCAAGACATCTACTAAAATGTTTCACTTAGGGAAGCTCTTGCGCTTTGCAATAACAGGTGCCATACAGTAGTGAAGAAGAAACTTTCTCTGTGGCTGAATACAGAGGGTGAATGTAAATAAGATGCCATCTGAGTGGAAACCGGCAAAACGTGACATATACTAAGGGTCCATATTGGGTCTCTTATTTTTCTTCTTCGCGCCAATTAATTGCCGAAACTGTTTGAATCCTCTACACTTCTGTTTGTAAATGATGTCAAAATCTGGAGAACTATGAATAGTGAGGTTGATTGTCTTAATCTACAAGCTAACTTAGTTGAGGCATGGAAAGTAATTGTAGAAAGAGTGTGCTAATGTACATCAGATACGACAATAATTACCAGTACACAATAAACGGGAATAAAAAGACTTAGGAATGAATAATTCGCTACTTAAAAATAACTGCATATTGTGCCGGAGCATTTTATAAAGGTTGTTGAGAGTTTCGGTCACGTCACCGAGCGTCCAAGTGCTTTGATGAAAACATAATTCGGATTTAAAGAGGTCCACTGACCTACTATCGTAGTTACTGAAGACTAATTAACTATATGATGACGGAGTGTGAACCATCAACTTATTTTATCAGTCAAAGGGTTACCAAGTATTATCAGACGTCGCACTGAAAAATGGGCCTGGTACTATTATCATCCATCATATAAGAAGAAATCATAAGAGATCTCAAAGACCACGATCTCGTTCACGTCCGAAGTTTCGCTTCAGGGACCGTCATCAGTTACCAACATGAATACTATTGGTTGGCGAGTTGTAAAAGAGACTGGGTCTTCTCAGTGCAACAACTCGTAGGGATTAATGCAGGTCATTATTGCTAATGTTGATACCACAGTTTTCGAAGAAAACTGGGAAGTTAAGCGTGACTGTTATCAATTAATCTGAAGATCCAAAGTTGAAACAGGTTGATTAGCCCCAATTTTTGTTCTAGCATACACGAATTAATCACATGGAAATAAATTGTTTCACATAGGCTAATTGGCACATTGAAGTGCGTGGGATATCCAAAATGGTATCAACCACTGCTCTCTAGCCCCTTTTTGTGGGCTTCGTTGTATGATGGAAAGCCTAGAGGGCAATGTAAGTCGCTTGCCAAAATGTGTTTCTAGCTTTGGTGTACAAATCGTTCATTTTTATCCCGAAGGATTTTCAATTTTCGAGGTAGATGTTACCGGAAATGAAGTGAAAGCGACGCGTTAGTTTCATAAATATTCTTATGAAGTCATGCTTATTTTGAAGGCCAGTGTCATTCAGAGCCCAACACTTGGCTCTCAACTAATATCTTGCTGAGTTTAACACTCGGTGCGTATAAGTTGGTGTGACAGTACACAAATTTCTTGGTGTTGTTGTTTACATATAGTCCTAAATGTAGTACTTCTTCAGTTCACAGTCATTGTCTGTCTGATTAATCTATTTAGATAAAAGTAAGAGGGCATAAAAGGTGAGTAAAAGAAGCAGCAGATAAAAATTCCTGTAATTTCTAAATACCCTAGTTAGTGGTTAAAATAATTAATTCGCCTACTACATTTTAAGAGTTTAATTACAATTTATTTACTTAAAAGCCATTTTATTTCTTCTAATTTTGATAATTTCATCTGAATTCGTCAATGCTGATCACAACGGATTAAATAGACCCTTGCTGAGTTGGGCTTACGTCCTGAAAGTAGTATTCGGGTAACCACCTGCTTTTCTGAAGTACTAGTCTCATCTAGGTTGGAAATCAAATGTTTAAATTATCTGTGAAAACCCTTGCTAGCTCAAAACATAGAAGTCAGTTGTGGAAAATTAAAGAGACGAAAACTTAATTTCGTGTTCTGTGTACATAGGTAGTCTTAGCTACTCAGAATGGTCCAACAAAGCATATCAATCCATTCTTTCAGTAGTGAAACCAAAAGCTAGTGTTGAATAAATACGGCACACTAGGTCTATGGGTATTAGATCCCCATTGTTCTTGCGAAGTAAATCCGATACCTCTCCATTTTATATTTTAAGCATTTATCTGTTACCATGTACCCCTACTACATGAATGTTTTGTCCGTCTTGTAAGGCATTCTCACTTAATATGACCACTAAGGAAACAGTTGCAGATATCTAGTTGCAACAAGTACTATTAAACAAGCTTAAAATTCCGCTTTATCGTGTGGGTTTGTGGAAATTGTGCATATTGCGTTGTAGTGTGTTGACATGTTATTTCGGGAGTAAATTGAGTTAAGTACTGTTTATAAATTTACCAAAATTTGGTGTTCATTTAGATTGGACTGATGTTTTATTGTTCATGATTGCCAACATGAAAGCTCCCAGACTTACATGCACTGTAGACAAGTATTGTGTGGTTGAATGGATGCCCTGCTTATTCTTCGTTACTGACACATTTTATCGAAATACCCTGCTAACTTTAATGCTTACGTCTCCATATTTACTGCATCGTCACGTACTAAGTTGCATACTAAGGAGTTCAGATCTCTTCGTATTTCTACTAAAATCATGTCGATGGAATGAACTCAATTCACCCACGTGACAACACGGGTTTTTCAACTATATCCCTCACTTTGTACCGCTCAGTTTTTTAACCTTAATTGGTTAAGTTTTTATGCCTCTCAGTATTATTCTTCATGATTTTGGTATACTGTCACCAGGATGCATCCATAAGTATATGGTATATGAGGATTTTGCATTGAACTTATAGTGGTAGGCAAAAGTAAGGCCACCGAAGTGTTTTTATATGACATCACTAGAATTCCTTGGCTGGTATTTGTGCCTACTCATTTAACTTTTTAATGTGTGGGTGAGAATGATAATGAGCGTTATAACACTTTCATTTCCTTTTTCTCTATAGTTTGGCTATCTGAGCTTAAGAGATGCGTCCCAACCACTGTCTGATCCATCATGCTTTTACTCAAACGACCAAGTTTTTAAGGCTTATGGGAGTCTCCCAGCCAATAGTCATAGGCGAAATGCTGCTCGAATATCTCGCTATGGGAATGGAGAAAGTGTCACACAACAGTCTAGTGGTTATCCTGTATTCAATCAGTGGAATCCTATTCACCGATTTGACAACATTGGTCTTTTCGGCCCCCCACCCCTAATCTTTGAAAGTGGAACAACAAATCATGGGTAATCTCAATTAACTATTGATATGTGTCTCTAATAGTGTTGTTCAAAATTCAGTTAACAAACAGTATAATGACAAACAAATGTGGTCTAAACCTTTGAAAAAGAGTGAATATGAATTGTTTGACCAACCCAAACGTGGTCTAAACTTCCAGCTGTATGATAGCATACCGGTTACTCAATCCGGGCCTAATTGGACTCCTGTGGAACCCATAAAATCATTCAATGATGTTGAACTCCACCAAATAATCAAGGAAAATGTGACCAGAGCTCAATATATACACCCTACACCAGTACAAAAGTATGCTTTGCCAATTATCGCTGCAAAACGTGACTTGATGGCATGTGCTCAAACAGGTTCTGGAAAAACGGCAGCTTTTTTGCTCCCGATACTCAATATGCTGTTTGAAGATAACCGCTGTGAAAATTCAGATGCATCGGTAGATATCAGTGTTCTTGTTTAGTTATTTTATAGGCACTCAGTTGTGCCGCATGTCCTGTAGCTTTGATCCTTGCGCCGACGAGGGAGTTGTCTTCTCAAATTTATGATGAAGCCCGGAAGTTTTCATACCGTTCCAACATTAAGCCATGCGTAGTCTATGGTGGGGCTTCCATTCTTGCTCAAATACGGGAATTATCCCACGGTTGTAACCTTCTTGTTGCAACTCCTGGGCGTCTTGTCGATATGGTGAGCAGGGGTAAAGTGAGTCTGGAACAAATCAGGTATGTTCGATTTTAGTTACCATTATTCCCCTTGTATTGTCTTTAGATTTTTTGTCTTGGATGAAGCTGATCGAATGCTTGATATGGGCTTTGAACCACAGATTCGTCGAATAGTCGAACAACATGGAATGCCACCAGCTGGGAAAAGACAAACTTTGATGTTTTCCGCAACATTTCCAAAAGAAATTCAGGTATAATTTCCTACTAGATCTTTTGCAATGGTTTCCGATAGAACACTTGGTCTTTAATTAAATTATGTAATAACTTCGTTTTCATTATAAACGAGATATGTTTTTCACGCTGCAGAAAATCTAATAAAAGACGTTGGCTTGTAAATTAGTGCACTAATTAATAAGTCCCTACTTATTTTTCAGACACTTGCGAGGGATTTTCTGCACTCTTACATATTTCTGGCCGTTGGACGTGTGGGTAGTACCAATGAGAACATTATTCAAGAAGTTTTGAACGTAGCTGATAAAGATAAACCTGATATGTTGGTTCGACTACTTCAAGGAAAAGGTATATTTAGTACTTCTTCCTTCATCTCGGTTTAATGATCCTATTGTTATTATTTAAAGTTTGATCAATTAGTTATTCTGCTGAACTAAAATGAATATATCCTTTGATACTTTGCCGTCATAGCCATCATTGAACTTCCTTGTTGACTGGTTCTAATGATAAACTTACAAAGATCATTGAGTTGAAGTGCAAAAGCTAAGCAGATAGTTATATTCATGAAACTCAATTCCTACCCTTTAAGTAAAGATCTTAGTACAAACGCATTTGTCATATTAGCTTGATCCTGTAAATGATAAATTAGTAATATCTTTTTCGAGGGGAGTGATAAATAACAACGTATGGGTTTAACAATAACCTGTCAGGTTATCCTTGTCAAAGTAGGTTATATACGGTTTTGTATATACTTTGATCAAGAGCTAATTATCGATTCGGTTTTAACAATTTACTTCATATTGTACTCTATTGGTTTTGCTAATACCGATGTGAGCTCTTGATCTCTTGCTAGATTATTCCATAAATTAGATTCTGTTATAATCCATTCGTGTTATATCATTATGTTTCATAATTATTAGCATCATACCGCACTCACATGGTCAGTCTATCGAGTGAAGCATCGTGAAACAAAAACCCATAATTACTGCAATAATTTAATGGGGAGAAATAGTTTGTTGTAGGATTAATCAATAAATCGTTCGCCTTCGTACTTAACAATGTTCACAATCAATACGTATCTCAATTCATCATCTACCTATAAGCTGTTCACTAACAACTCACGTTAAAAAACAACCACCATATTCCAATATTATCTTTATGTTGTTATTTGACCAAATTAATACTTGAAAAACAATAGAAGCTAATTGTAATGTAAGTAACTACTTTCTGGGACTTATGGAACAAAAACTGTTAGTTGGCATACTAACTTGTATTTCTAACAGCGAGATACTCAGTGAAAACTCTTGGACTGATTTACAACGACGGAAATATTACAATATCCCACAGAACACATAGCTCTAGTTTCACTAACTTCCTATCGTCTCTAATTATGTCATTATTTTGTAGGGCACATGCTGTTGTATCTGGGCAGTATCACAGTCAGTTGCAACGTAGGACCAGGCACATATATGCATCGGTCCAAGTTGCCATACCGCATTAACACAATAAGATGAACACCGGATTCATAGAAGTAGTTAATTCAGTGGTGGTAATATATAGAAGAAAGATTGCATATAAGGAGATCGTACAGGAAGAAAGATATGAAGCGATTTTAATCTCTTAGTTTAAATGAAGACAGAGAGTGTATACACCTACGCCATTATGATCGATTCTGAGCCATGTCACCAAGAGTCTCTAACCATTGGTTACGATAGTCACGCGGACCCCAATCAGGCAGTCTGCATCTACCAACATGGCTCAGACCAGAAGTTAGTGACTTCAAGCACTGATGCCACGTTTTGGTTTGGCCGCCCCTAACTTCCTCCCAATTATCCCTAACACCGGTTAGCATTGTGCGTCGTGGTAATCAGTGTTCAGGCATACGCAACATGTGGCCCAACCATCTCAGTCGATGAAGATTCATAACCTCATCAACTGATTTACCATCATTCCCTAATACCCTACATCTAACCTCACTATTACTTACCCGGTGATCCCAGCAGATGCGAGCAATATTTCTAAGGCATCCGTGGTCAAATACTTGTAACTTACGAGTATCATCTACTCTTAATGGCCGCGTTCCGCAGCCGTGTAGTAGAACGGAACGAACTGCCGCGCAGTATACTCGTCCCTTAATTGATAGACGGATATCTCGCCTTCGCCATAGATGACGTGAGTTGGCAAAGGCCAAGCGAGCTTTTCGAGTCCGTGCTGAGATTTCGTCAGACACCAACCCATTAGGGCTGATCAGACTTCCAAGATAAGTGGAGTTGTCAACGCGTTCGATTACTTCACTGCCTATCCTTAGTTCAGGTGTTGACGCAGACCAGTCCTAAAGCAACAACTTGCATTTGGAGGGAGAGAAGCGCATCCCAAACATTCTGGCATTGTTGCTTAGTGCTACCAAAAGACTCTGCATTTCATCAGCGTCTTCATCGAACAGGACTATGTCATCTGCGTGTTCTAAGTCAATAAGTGGACCTCCTGGAAGGAGCTCGATACCCGAGAATCCAGTCGATGAGAGCGTTATTTCCATCAGCAGGTCTATGGTGAAGTTAAAAAAAAATGGAGAAAGTGGACAGCCTTGACGGACACCACTTGAGGTTGTAAAATCAGATGAAAGTTTGCTATAAGCTCTGACTCGACTAGTAGTGTTGGAGTAAAGAGCCTCCACAAGGTTTATGTACTTCTGAGGTACGCCTTTCAATGACAGACACTGCCACAGAACCTCTCGGTCAACAGAGTCAAACGCTGCTTTTAAATCAAGGAAGACTACCATTGTCGGACGCAGATAAGTATGCATGTGTTCTAGAACCTGACGAATGGTGAATATGTGGTCGATGCAGCCACGACCAGGTCTGAAGCCAGCCTGATTTTCACGTGTTTGCAGTTTACGAGTCTTAGGCGTCCGATAATTATCGAGGCTAGTATTTTAGGTACTATATTAGTTAAACTAATCCCTCTATGGTTGTCACAGGATGATTTTGACCCTTTCTTAAATATTGGGACGATAAGTGATTGTGACCAGTCAGATGGGATGACGTCTAACTCCCAGATTTTAGCTAAAATATTAGTCAACCTAGTCGTTAATATTGGACCACCATCTTTAAATATCTGTGGAACCAATCCATCTGGACCTGCTGTCCTTCCTCATTTTAGATTAACTATATCCTTTTGAACTTCAGCTAGAGTTGGAGGACCTACTTCAATGTTCCATTCACACTGTCTGGGAATGGTGGGTAGTTGTAGAGTAGCTGGAGGCCAGCTGAACTGCTCCTTAAAGTGTTCCACCCATCATTCTAAACGTATGTGCTGAGAGCAGATAAGACTGTCGTCTTTTTCCGAGATAGTCTGACTTACACTTTATTTATTAATACCAGTTTCTTTTATTAGTCCGTAAAACTGTCTTGTTACATATAGCCACTGCCTTTTCCATCTCTTTTGCTTTCGTTGCCCACCGCTGCTCACGGTCGTTCCTTAGACTTTTGCTTAACCTAGATCTGATTTGTTTACGCTCATCATCGTGTTCAGATCCTGATGGGATGAGTTTACGAGAATCCATCAGTGCAATAGACCTTGAAGAAATCCATTGGTTCTTTGTAACCCTGTGGTTTAAATCACTAGTAGATGTCACTGCTGTTTCCAAAACTGCTTGTATAACTTTCCAAGCAACATCTGGGTCAGCCTCATTTTCAGAACTACCTAAGTGTGACCTCAGTTGTTCTTGGAACCTACGTTTGGCTTTCTCGTTACTCAGTTCAGTTCTAATGGGTCTTTTTAATGTGGCTTTTTTGCGTCCAGTGAGGCGCAAGTAGATGCGTGCTCGTATTAGAGCATGATCGGAGTCCGAGCAGGTACTCCAGAATGAGCGACAATCTTCTATCGAAACTCTCCAACGATGACTGATGGCAATATGGTCTATTTGAGTCCATCGTTGGTTTGGTGTAGGGGGTCGCCATGTTAGACGATGTCCCTCCTTGTGCTTAAAATTAGTGTTTGCTAAAAATAAACAATTGTCTGAGTACAGTTGCAGAAGACGATCACCATTATTTGTTCGCTGAACCGGAATACCAAAATACCCACCTAAATGTCTTTCTGTTTCGTTTAAGCTACCTACCTGGGCATTAAAGTCACCTGCTACGAGTACTATGTCTGAGCGTTTAGGTTTCTGAAGAAGTTCAGACAGCTTTCTGTAAAATTCATCTTTCACTTCATCCGAGCTGCAGTCAGTGGGAGCGTAGGCAGAAACGACGAAAAGGCAACGACGTGTGTCCCTATCCTTCGGAGTTCTTACGGAGCCGTTTAGCCGAACAGCGCATAGACGACTGTTAACGGGGATTTACTCTAATAGCGCTTGTTCCGCCCTCATGCTTAGTGCTATGCCTACACCTGCCAGTCCACGAGAACTGGCCGTCGGGTCGCCAGATACACGGAGGGTGTATCTCGTCGGCTCTCCGTTTTGCCGAGGTGAGGTCAAGTGAATGACCACACCAGGATCCTGTATGCGTGTTTCGGAGACACAGCATACATCAATGGTACGAGATTCTAGGGTTTTAGCCAAGGAAGCCTGCTGACCGGTTTGGCATAGTGTGTGTACGTTGAAGGCTCCAATGTGTAGTTTAGAGCGAGGTTTCAGTAGACCTGGGACAGTGTTTTGCGCACTAGAATCGTTGGCTGTGGTGACACTTGAGGAGGAAGCCGAAAGAGGAAGCTTAGATTTGAAAGTCGATGTAGGAGGAATAATAGGAATTGAAGAGGGAGGTTGATTATGAATACAGTGGTCTTGAGTGCTGTTAGGGGTATGAGGGCGGTTATCACTTCCCGGTTGCCCACACTGTGGAAGTGTTCTTCTGGAGGTATCTGAAAAGGAAATTGGATTAGAGGTGGTCATAGTGACCTGAGAGCGTGACTGCAGTGCCCAAAGGACATCTGCTTGAGGTCGGTCACACACGACCATTTTATGAGTAATTTTTGTGTTAGCTCCGTACTTGTTGAGACCTTACCGCCGGAGACGGATATCCGTGGGATAAGGCGAGGTGTGCATTTTTAGGGTCGACCTTTTCTAACCCCATCCCTCCTTGTGGGAAGACAGCATCGCTGTTATGCTGGTTGTCCGAAGGAAACACCTTACTGCTGTCACACCTCTGTACAGTCAGCAGTACGACTTCGCCTTCGGACCTTGGACTTGTTGCTCTTAGTTTTACCGCTCTTCAACCGACCTGTCTGGCATAGTAGGACCTTGAGGAACGGTTGTTCCAGCCAGTATTGCTCAGTTGCTTCATCACGATAGGCAAGCCCGACCACCACGTCAAGGTAGCAACAACGGTCGGGAAAGTGCCCACAGCACAAGGCCTCGCCCACACACAAATCAAGTGACTTGTGGCGCAAATGTATTTGGTGCCCCTTTGTACCAATATTTGTGTTCAAATAAATAAATTGGTGTTGTATTTTGGTTCACGTTGCCGAGATAAGAGTAAAAACCGAGTTTCCGACGAGGAAACCAAACATTAAGAAGTTGTTCACAAAATATTCAGAACTGTCAACGGGAGCCAGAGAGATTTACGGATTTTGTGACAAGGTAAAGCATGAAATCCCCATAAAGGACTGTTGAGTAACTAAATTTGCAACACGCCGTGTTCCCATGCATTTAGAGCCTGAGATAAATCAATAAGTCCAGGTGATTTTGAAGGAAGGTTTAATTGAAGAAGTGGACAGCCCGTACATTCATCAGTCCTTTTGGTAACGAAACCGAATGGGAAGTACAGATTCTATGTCGATTTTTGAGAACTGAACAAGCCATGTACAATGCCAACAATAGCAGAAACATCAGATCAGTTACAAGATGCTACAGTGTTTACAATGCTGGATTTACAGTCAGGTTATTGGAAACTGCCTATAGAAGATAGCGATCAAAGCACAACAGCATTTAACGTACGTGATAAGCAGTATCAATTTGGACGAATGCCGTTTGGTTTGGCAGGTGCACTGTTTACGTTTAAAAGGATAATGACGCTGCTACTCAGGGATCTAGGGAACGTCGAGGTGTACGACGACGATGTAGTTGTGTACAGTCGTACAGAATGAGATCACGTAAAGCATGTGGAAGTGGTCCTAAAGCGAATTAAATAATTTGAACTACAAATTAGTAAGGAGTAGTCGCGGATAGAGAAAAGCAGCGTCACGTTGTTGAAGCATAAAATAGGAAATAAAGAAATAAAACTACTGCCGGGGAAAATAACCATAAAGAACATTGTAGTACCAAATTCGCAAAGGAAATTGAGTCAATTTTTGGGAAGGGCGACGTTCTACAGTTGGTTCGTCTGTAACTTCAACAAAATAGCAGCACCCCTATATAAGTTGTTAGGCAACACTAAGTTTACATGGAGAGACCTTTTAACAAACTTTCGATAGAACCAAAAACCTGTTAGACGGCCTCTAGATGACACTCAAACTGCCCGAACCAGAGAAACCGTTTACAGTGGCCACAGATCCAAGTGCTCATGGTATAGGTGTCATCTTAAGTCAATCTGATAGTAGTGGAATACGCCAGTAGTGTCTTTACACCCACTTAACAGAAGTATTCAGCGATTGTGTGAGCAGCAGACAATTGGAGACCGTACATACTAGGTAGACGATTGCACATCGAGATTGATCATAAACCCCATACAGTGGTTGAAAACAGCAAGAAAACCCCGTGGGAAGTTGGTGCGATTGATGATACGTCTGCAGAAGTACGATTTCAGTATCAGGCATGTTCCAAAAAAGGAAAATGTAGTGGCAGAATACTTGTCAAGTCCAGATATAGAAGCTGAACTTCTACTGACAGCATATGCAGTGTATAGTCTAGAGGGAGACCCGCCTCCAATTGCCCTGATGCGGCCGAGATTGGAAAGAGTTAGCCCTCCCTTTCAAAATGCTCTCACTTGGCTACGCGTATACAGCTATTACCAAGGAAGTCCTACTCATTGCCTTCTCATGGCAGTGGTATTGTTTATGAAATTAAGAGGATGAGAAGCGAATATCCGGTGCTTTAACTGGGTTAGTGGATATGGAGGATCTACCTAGGGGAGTTGAAAAACCCTGATTCCACACCAATAGTGCACATGGGCTCCAGGATCTTGAGGAAACAAATGGCGCATAAACCTATTGGTCGGTTACCATGGGACTGCGTCTCGTAACGTTGCTCCACTGCATTATGAATTAGAACTTTAGGTCAAAGGCTCCGGGTGTGACCTCCTAAGAAACCACCTGCTTCGGTTTGGGCGCCTGGGTAGTATCTCAGCCTTCATACAAATCAAATGATTTATGTGGCGCATATATATTTGGTACCCTCTTGTACTAATGTTTGTGTTTAAATATGTAAATAAATAAGAGGGAGATATAATAGGACTTGTCCGCCAACAGCATTCTGACCCTAACCTTCGAGAGTTAATCAAAGCAATAGAAGAAGGAGCAGACGTCGACAAACAGGTGATGGAAAAGGAAAGATAGGGTGAACGCATTTGAAGTCTTTATTTGGCGGGATGATAACGGGAATTAAGTGGCGATGATCCCGAAGAACTTTCGTCCTAAGACCATACATGAATGTCACCAGGTAGTGCATACAGATGACGCAAAGACGACGGATTTACTACGACAGAGCGCGTACTGGCCAGGCATTAGATACGACGTGGCCCAATATGTGTTAGGTCGCGAACAGTGATAAAGAAGCGGTACGGCGATCGGAATGACTGCCCCCTCCCTTCTGAGGGTGCGTTGTGCATACTACTTATATTAACAGATATAAGTAGTATGTAACACCGGTCAGAAGTGAAAGGCCTGTCAAATGAAGGTTGGACTGAAGAAAACAGAAAGGAATTGAGAAGTGGAAAAATCATCAAGGATGTAAAGGACAATTGATGGACGGTTTGCAGATGAAGTATTTAATGTATTGTTTTCACATTTTATCAGAGAACTCTGTAAGTTTGCTTTAAATAGTAAAGTGGTTATCCCCACTTGGGTTCTCGATCACTACAGTATTTTTAGGATAGGTAAAACAAAAATGCCTCCATTGATTGTTGTTCTTTAATTTACATTGTATACCATGTTTTGAGGCTTTATTTTAAAAATAAATTGCATAACCAACTTACTTTTAAATGTTAATTTAGATCCGGATGGCTTGGCCTTAGTATTTGTTGAAACTAAACGTGGAGCTGATGTTCTGGCTAAATTTTTATGTCAGTTGAATTTTCCAGTCACATCAATTCATGGTGATCGCCCTCAGACCGAACGAGAACATGCACTTCAATCTTTTAGATCTGGTCGTACTCCCATTCTTATTGCTACGGCAGTTGCTGCTCGAGGTTTAGACATACCGAATGTTAAGGTTAGTTCCTATTTCAATATATTTTACTTTCATGTAGAAAACAAGTAAATACTTCAAGTTTTCATTCTGCTCAAAAGCATGAAATAATAAAAAGCTACCTTTAGTCGATGAGGTTATTGGATAGTTATTTATTAACTAGTATTCAGTGTTATATGGAATGTTGTGCGACATTGTACAGTTTATATTAGTTGACGATTACTTGACAATCATACCCGATCAAAAAGGGTACTGAATGTTGTTACAAGTATGCTTCTAAAATGTTATTATTAAAAACATCAGTTTTTACTACAGTGATTACTATCATGATACTCACTACGTGTTTCATATTAACTTCTGCATGAAGTTGGTTAATAATTTTTGTACATCCTTTGTCTAGCAGCTACCGATAATATAACGGTTCGACATAGTTAATAATTTCGCTTAGGTGTAGACGTCTCTCAATTATACACTATTTCTTTATGTCTGTGTTAAATGGTTTAGTAATCTTGTAAAGCTTCAGTGTATTTGATAAATATCACTCGTATAACTTTTCATGGACAACAGTTTTCAACCTTTCATAGTATATAGTATCCATAAAAAAATGGATGTTATAAGTGGTGTTGATAAATAAAAATGGAGTTATAAAGTATTCAAGACTCAGAAGAAATTACATCCATATACCATTGTAATTGTTGTTTGCCCATTTCACCTAGAGTCTCCAACCACACTTTGAAAGTCAACATTTAATCTTGTAACTTAATTATTATAATACTACCAGTGCTGTTGTTTTTTGCATTCTCTGCTAAATTTGATCTATTTCAAATTCGATTCTGTCCCATCAGCACAATACATTCTTACAAGATGAATGTAGAACTACTGATCTGTCAGGTTAAAATTAAAGTAATAATCAACGTTTAAAATTGTAATCAATATTGTATTTAATTATAATTAGCCAATTACGAAGGGGAAACTACTTTCTGGTTTGATTATTTTATCATGTTAATCATATTCCTTCGCGTTTCTTCTTTTTCAACAGCATGTGATTAATTTCGATCTACCGTCAGATATTGAGGAGTATGTTCATCGCATTGGTCGTACAGGTAGAATGGGCCAACCAGGCTCTGCGACGTCATTCTTTTCTGAGAAAAATCAAAATGTCGTAAGAGATTTGGTTGAATTGCTTCGTGAGTCTAAACAAACTGTACCACCGTGGCTAGAAGCACGTGTTGCTTATCCATCAGGACCAGCGAGTCGTCGTAATAAAAACATAAATAATAACGTTAATAAAAAGTAAGGTTTTCTACATCGTAGTCATGTAAATTATTCAAAGTATTGAAATGTTTCCTTTAAAGTTAACATACATTGTTTATAAATTCAATAACCATTTAATTTAGATTTTTCTGAGCTTGTAGACTCTTCTCCCGTTCCATTTTGTCAATAAGTAATATCTTAACTTTGAACATATTTAACATGTGATTAAGAAGTAATATGGAGTAATATTTAAGGTTTTTAAGTATAGATATTTCTAGTTCTTTCTTATTTGGTGTAGTTTGTTAAAAGTCATCCCACCTGTGTTCGTTTTGATTTCAACACATTTCCATTTCGGTAAATTATCCTTTTTTGTTTGTGAAGCAATAGTTCAATAGTTAAGGCATCCAACCTTCTGTCACTAAGCCACAGGTTCGAACCCCACTTTACTATGGTTTAAGAAAGTGTATACTATCACTATCCCTTACACTTTCAGATTAGTAAATAAAGTTTATAATCCAATTATTTCTGTTCGTCTGTGAAGTGTACTGGCTTGAGTTGATACACTAATGCATGGTATTCTATGTAGCTGTGTCTATTCATCGTGTGAAAAGGAGGCTGCTTGATACCACTAAAAGTCATAATTCCATGACGATTCTTTTCAAGATTAGCTTTCAAAATAACTTGAATGAATATTATGTGAATTTCTCACAGAACAGTGAATACAATATTACTTTCGTCCTTCTTCTGCGTGTATTAGAAATTAATTAATTTTCCGTAGATTTGTATTAACGACGTAATTATTGTTTTCTAAAGATAAAAGTGGTTTATCATATCGATTGTGTAATTTTATTCCCTTGTTATATGCAATGTTAGACAACTATGTTATGGTTGTGCTGGTGTAGGAACCTTTTTTTATTGATCCATATTTTTGCTTTCCATTTATTTCAATTTGTTGTATCAAAGTTTATTTCGACCTCACTACATGTTTAAATTAGAATTAATGTAAACCCTATACCTCCCTCATGTCACCTGGACACAAACCGTTTATGAAGTTTACCAACAGTTATCTCCTTACCATCTTACTTTTCTGCCTTACTTAATATAATCTAGAAAAGTTGTCCCGAGTATTCAACTCCCGAATCCGTACCCTTTCTAATAGTTTATTACTCATCATAAGAACACGTAAAACTTGTTTACAGATGACTCTAACCTTTGATTAGAGTGAAAAGCTATTTTTGTGGTTAATAATGGTTTTTATATATTTGGAATCTTATCTAGTAATTTCATATAAGATTAACACCTCATATCTAAACTTCGCCCCATTACACAAGCAGGTAGCTATCAGAACTCGATAGCTAAGTGGATAACGTGGTGGCATTTGAAGCGAACAGTATTGGGTCCGAGTCCCGGAGTAAACATCAGCTTTGTGATGCAGGTACATCCAGCTGACGAGTTCAAAATAGGACGAAACGCGCGTCCTGGATTCCACTATCCATCCTTGTATAAAAAGCTTGTGACTTAAGGCTATATCGAGGCAATCAGCATAGGATGCACATATGCAAACATGAAACTGATCAATTGCAGTCCTAAATAACAATGGGAAGATACAAGTAAAACAACACCAAGTGAATTTAACCAAACTGTTGTTTTTTATTAGTTCTTTTAAGAATGTCCGGCTAATATTCCACGTGCACACTAAATTAAACATATATAAATTACTACTAGTTTGTTGTTATTTATTATCAGTCAGTTTCAAGATAATTGTAAAAGGTCTTGAAAATTGTTTTATTGCATAAACTGTCATCTCTTTTTACTTTTTATAATCAAATTTCTATATTCTCTTGCCGATAAAGTGATATTTAGCTGCTTGTTTTTTACTTCATGAAAGATTTCATTCAATATGGTTTAATCCTCGACTATTAATTTCAAGGATAAATTAGGGTGATTCATTAGAGAGCCTGCTGATTTTGTTATACTTTAAGTGTGACAGTCTTGTCAGTTTTAGTGGTTGTTGTTTGGACTAATAAAACCGGGTACTTTGGCTAAAATTTGATTTTTGATAAGTGTATGGTCTTTGAAAATCAGTTAGAGTACAAAAGTGTATTGTACGTAGTTGTAGTATTGTAATCTAAACACTTTAATTTTCGATCGCTTTCCTACTTCACTCTCGGTTTTAATAGATGATTAATAGTTTTAACTCATATACAAGCCTAAATAAGACTAGTATGTCTATGGTTATCAAGTTGAAATACCATTTTCTTGAGAATAGTGTTGTCCAACGTTGTCTCTACCTTATGTATTCAAGTAATAAATAAAGATAGTAGTTATTCTGAGGTTTTGACGCTTAACACTGTGGACCCATGCATCGTGTGTGTGTGTGTCTGTGAATGATCAGTTTTTATTTATTTAGACAGACGGAGTTTCTAGTGTCTCCTGCTAGGTATTTTTATGTTAACGGTTATGCGTGCTTTTGAAGGTCAGTTATCATTCAACATTGGTTATACTTTAAATATTCTTTCGAATTGACTTTATTAGTGTAGATAATAATATCAAAGTATGTACTCTTGTAATCACATTTATTTACTTGATATTTTAGGAATCGGGTTAATTATTGTTCATTTGACTATCGACAGTATGGTAATCGAAGTATTAGTTATGTCGGTGGGTCTTTACCAATGAATAACAATACCAATAACAATAGTAATTTACCGAATGGTGGACTTGGACTACTTGGAAACTGTTCATTGTCATTCCCTATTGCTAGTAATCCTAGACATCTGCAAAACAATACTTACAATCCATTATTTCAACCTGGTCAAAATCAACAGTCTAATAAAGTTTTCTGTAAAAATAATTCTAATTTTGTCAATCGAGTAAATACGTTTACAGGAACACATGAACATCAGAATAATTCTTTATCAGCATCTGTTTCTTTATTTCATCATCAGCCTAGACTTCAACATCCACAACCAGCAACACTTATGCCTGGAACTAATCCAAATGCTGCAGTTCATCAGTTCTTAGCGGCAGCTGTTGCAGCTGGAATTCATCCTCTACCATCTAATGGTACAAATATTAATGATGGGAATTTAACAACTATGAATAATGGAGGTTTTCAAAATCCACATGTTCATCCAACAAATGGTGCACCATTTGCTACACCTACCTATCAGGCTTTCCATCCAGCTGCTGTTTTCCCCTCATCGAATCAAGTTCCATCACAATCTGTTTCTTCTAATGGTCGAGATGGCTCTGGAGCTGTAGTATTTCCACCTGCTGGTCTTTATCATACAGGTAATTTGAATGGAACTAATACACTAAACTCAACAAGTTCGGCCAATCACCAAACTTTACAACAGGCCCATCCAACTACAGCACTTATTCAGACTGGTTATCCTGTTCAGTATTACCCTCAAAATCAACAACATTTTTGTCCTGTCTCCAATGGAATTCAGCGTCATTCACCTCAACAACAACAACACCAACAACAAGCTGTAGTCGCCGCTGCAATGGCTGTTGCAGCCGCAATGAATAATGGTATTCAATCGAATAATGAGAACTGTAATGCATATATATCTCAGCATTCTCAAATGGAATGCAATATTCCACTTGATCCTGTCACAGCATCTAGTCCATCTGCACAAATATCTAAAGGTGGATCTGTTATTCAACCGGTGTTTAGAAATGATGGTGACTGGTGGACATCGGCCACACCAACATAATTAATTAATATTATGAAGTTAGGCATCATTTGATTTAAACAATGTCATAGTGATTTTGTTTACAATTATTTACTCATTCACATGTTTTGAAGTGCTTACTTTAATTAGACATTTGACTTTTGTCACAATGAGTGGGTCTACAGTATACATGCATGCTCGCCTACAAATAAATTCATTGTTAATTGAGTACAATTTGTCTTTATAATTTTATATAAATTTTACTTAGTTGTTTAGCCAGTCATTCTTACGTAACCAATTTTCTCCCTTATTCTAATTACTGTCATCAGTAATATATGACTTCGGTTGTTTACTATTTTATCATTATTTCCTCATTGTGTCTCCCTACTAGGTACTAGTTGTTCTTTATTGTTATGTGTTATGTTGTCTTTTGTCCTACTATTTTGAATTGTATGCATGTGTGTTTGTTTATGGGTACATCCACATTCTCTATTCCAACATTCACTAGCTAATTTAAAGAGAAAACATTTCACAATTGCTTCTGGATATATATATATATATATATATATATATATATATATATATATATATATGCATATATATCAACGTCGGAGAAAAGTCGGTCAACTAATTCCCTGTGCGTCTATATTTCCTTATTACTCCTTTTTCCTGTCTCTTTTTATACTACTGATTTTCGTGCTACTATTATCTTTAATACCATATTCATATTCACTTTTTCCCTTTTGGATTTTTCTCATTTTAAGAGCTCTTTTTTGTTGAGAATGCGCCTCCTTACTGTTTTCAAGCTACCATTGTTATTATTAATGATAATTATGCTGTACACAATTAGGAATCACCACCATTCTGAATGTATGAATTTTTGTACAGTTGCGATACTATCATTAGTTTGTTTTTTTCTTTTCATTATTTGAAGTAGAATTTATATTCATTTAACAACTACATACAATTTGTATGCACACTGACACATGCATTAAATACATAGGATTTTCACTGAATATTATGCATAATGTAATATTAAGATTGTACCATATGTGACTTGTGTTGTCCATCTATCTACCATACTATTTGTTTGTTGTTTTCATTTGTCACTCAATTTGTCATCTTTCTCAGTTCATTCATTTAGGATAATCGTCATCTTGTTTTACTTCTACCATTATATTTCTTTTCATTGTTGGTTAGTTCATGTTTCATCCAAAATTATGCTATTTTCTTTTCTATGTCAGTGATTATATTCTTTCCTAGTTCGTGTAAAAATCAAGTATATACTGTCCATGTGCTTTCCTCTGCTGTGTCTGTGTGTGTACATGTGTTTCAACAGATGATTATATTTCTATTTTGTCGTTACATCGTATAAAGTCATCCAATTGTTTATACATTTATATTGGATAAGGTCTTCATCAGTGTTGTGTTTATATATATATATATATATATATATATATATATATATATATATATATATATATATATATACATACATACGTATACTACCACTACTACTCTTAAATTCCAACAAATTGTAATCGCAACTCAGGGCCATTGTGCTTGGAATAAAAAAGTAAATTACGCGAACTTGTATTTAAAAGCTGAAAAGAGTAAACACTTCGGGGGGTATTCGTTTGTGAAATTATTCTTTTTTTTACAAAAACATTATCTTCAAACGCTTTTGATTACCCTTCGTCTTACACTCCTCTCCTTAATCCAGACATTTTTTCTATTCTGTTCTTGTCTTTTACACAGGTGGTTTTACATTTTCTATTTAAGAAATCTTTCCCATTGTTATAAAAGACGCCTTATTCATGATTGAATTAATTGTGATGATATACTTACACTGGTTACCTTCGTTGATACAGCACTATTTATTGTTAATGAGCAAATGTAAATTAGCTAACATTTTTTTGAAACTTGTTTTGTTAATCTCTCCTCTTCAGTTTATATTAATACTACATCATTAAACTGTTTTTTCTCTTTCATTGTTTGCTTTTGCCACATTAGTAACAATAAAGCTAATAAGTATAAAAACAACAATTATCAAGGTTAGAACAATCTATAAAGATTTATAATGTTGATTTTGTTTATTAAAGGAACCAAAATGTCATGGTTGAATTTTGTTGATATATTTCCTTAAATTTCATATGGTTATTGTGGAGCCATTATAAATGGATTAATCATAGCGTATAGATTGTTGTGGCATTACGCTTCCCACCAACGTTTAATATAAGGCGTTGAGCGAGTGTCTAGCTTTTATTGATAATGTTTTCTACATCATAGATAAGTAGGTCGTATCGTGCTTATGACAGGAGTAGCGTTTCGCCAATGAACTTTCTACGTCTTATAAAGTTTGTATGGTTGTTTTTTAGCTTTATTATCTCGGATTCCATTCATAATTTTACAAAACTATGAGTAATCAAGCCAGAAAACTAAATTACATAGCTTGGCATTCCTTTAACGTCTAATTAAAATCCTGAAAGCTAACTAAATAAGACGAATAAATAAATAATATATTTGTAATATCCCAATGAATAGAAAAATTAGATATTCTGACGTTTCGTGGCTTAGTATAAGTCGCTTCTTCAGAGAATAAATAACCAAATTAAAACTAATCCAAGTTTAAATAGTTCCTTTTTACTAATTAAACTTGGATTAGTTTTAATTTGGTTATTTATTCTCTGAAGAAGCGACTTACACTAAGCCACGAAACGTCAGAATATCTAATTTTTCTATTCATTGGGATATTACAAATATATTATTTATTTATAACAATCTACCCAATGCTCAATTTATTCGAAATTATCAAATCAAATCTTGGTAATGATACCTACAAGACGTGGAATAGTTCATGTAATCTAATATTCTTTTACACAGTATTACAGCTTTAGTCTCATACGCTCGGTCTATCTTTCCACATTACGTTGACTTAGCGATGTATTTTTTGGTGGGTGGCTTCTGCTCTACTTATCGTACGAATCAAGATGCTTTCACCAAGTAATAAAAGGATCTAAATGATACTCATTCTTGAAATAAATTTCAGGTTAGCGGTACTTTGATGCTTCGAGTGATCTCATACCTTTGTGTTATTTGGGAAGTTTCACCTTACGGTTTATGCATTTTACTTCCTGTCAACATTTGGGATCCAGTTCTGAATGTATTTCATTAACTGGATATGATTGATAACTCATGGAGTAGATTCAATTCATAATGGTAGCGTCATTAATATTCGCTGTTTAATAAACAGTTTAAGCCAACTCGATTTAAGGAGCTAGCGTTTGTTGTGATAACACCTTCTGGTATCAAAACAATCTACTGTATTTTCAATTAAACTTAGGGTTAGTCTATTGCATTAAATCTGACCAATCAAATCTCACTATTATTGACTTATACTTTTTAAAATGGTGAATTAAACACACAAGTTGAATGTATTACTGAATCCTGTAACTAATGCCATGCAGTTAACCAACCAAACACGAATTGCTTTTACAACCAACCGACCTTGTTCAAATGGCTAACTTGTAATGTTTGAAGCTGTTCTAGGTGTTAAGGGATACTGTGGAAGATTTGCTTACCAAATCACACAAGAGTTTAACACATACTGAAGATAAATTAATAACTGGCACAATCAAGGTGGGAGACAATATTGTTGAGTAGATGAAATGATATGGGAGAAATAAATTCTAAACTTGAGAACTTTGACAAGCGATAAACAAGAAGCTAGTAGTAGATTATCGCGATAATGAAATTGATGATTTCCTCAGCTAGCAAAGTTTGTTTTGATCCATATGATCAAGCACATAGATTGATGCTCTATCTGCAATGCATAAGCTAGAATCCTATTTTACTCACATTTTCGGATGGGTGGTTAGTTTCGCTTCGCTCGCGTTGTGGAGTTTTTCAATGGGATTTCGGAACCTTTGTTTAAACTGGTAAATAAAAGATAAATTTTCCTTGACCTGGCTTCATTGATGACAAGTGTGGTTGGATATTATAATCTTTGAAGATATCACATAATTCCCTGTCTTAATATCAATATATATGAGCAGATAAGAGGATTTCAAAACAAAGCCTTAAATACTCGTTATTAAAATGCATGAGAATAGGCGCACACTTTGACTCATTTGTCAAAACAGAATAAACTAGAAAAGAGTTTATAATATAAGGGTAAATCACATTTTCTTGACATTTTACTGAGCAGTACAAAAAGCACTAGTGCACATAATACGTACTTCTCTGACAATTCATTCATCCAGTTCAAAAGATACATTTTAACAAAAGCTAGTAAAATGTCGAATGATATCATATCTAATGGGTTAATGATCATCCTTAAAATATCGATTAAAATGATTCACGACAACAGATTTGCAAGCAACGGATTGCGTTTACTTGACAGTAAATTGACTAGAGTAATTGTCCATAAGAAGTCACTATTTCTGAAACTTTAGGTAAGTACAGTATTATATGTGGGATTTATAAGGGCTGTAAAAAACACTTTTACGAATTCAATATTTGCAATACTTTGCAGATTAATTCTGACTTAAGGAATAAAAATAAGCCACCATGAAACCTCCACATTAAAACTGCAGTTTCGAGTTTACTAGTGACTTGCTTCGAGATGATTTCTTGAAGTTCTAGTGGTAAGTCAACCTGTTAACTTCAGACATATTGACAGTGCAACTAGTAGCATTGGATAATGAAACTGCTGCATTGTGAATTGAGTGGAATTGGATGTGTGTATTGTTTGGTACTGACGCGGTAGTCTAGCAGATAAGTGCTGACTTTGAGGTCTAAATTTTCCGAATTCGATTCTTAGTGAGTTCCTGGGTCAGGAATACATAAGAGCCTCGTAACAGGACGAGACTGTTGTTGTTGGTTCTTCCAAAATAGTGAAAGAAATGATGTTAGGTTATTGGAAGGTCACCAGGGAACCCTGAACCTAGATCTCGTGCTAGTTGACACTTACTAGCGAGGTGCATCCGCAATCTGATGAAGACTGATGTCCCCCGTAAGGTTTAAACTCTCATTCTCCATCTTAACAGTAGGAAATGAATCTATCCCTGAGAAGTCGGAGCGTGTCCACAACAAAATTAATTACTCACTTATTAACATTTATTTCTCTACCAAGCATTTCTGGAGCAAGGAAATCATTTGGTATTGTTAATGATGTATTTTGTTATCCAACATTGATGAAATACCACTTATTATACTTTTCATTTTATCGCATTACGTCTTATTACTATTAATTCTAATCTGATAATTACCGTTAGTCAAATATCACTGATTGACCTGTTTGTTGTTGTTCAGCACTTACATTTAGTCGCATGTCATTAAATCGTTGTCTAGGATCTGTGAAGGTTTTATTGTATGAATTCTCTTGTGTAGAAATATGATAAAAGTTATTGCTTTCCTACTACTGAATTTGTAAGAACACTGTTTGCAGCAGGATCATGGATCTGAACAAGATTGATAAATAGTGAAAATAGATATTTAAATGTTCATTGCAACTGGCCTTTTGACTGACG